ACTTATATATTGCTTCGTAGTGCTTTAGAGCCCTCTCTAAGTGGTTTACAGAATCAGCATATTGCCCCCAATAATCTGGGCCCTCAATTTTACTGACCTCGGCAGACTGAGTCAACTTCGAGCCAGTTAGAATCAAACTGCTGAACTGCTGGCAGCCGGTAGTACTGCATTCTAACCATAGCTCCTTGATAGCAAAAGCATTTAGACATACTGTATATACCACTTTACAGTGCTTTACAGCCTTCTCTAAGTAGTTTTACAGAGTCAGCATATTTTGGAAATGCTATCCTTTATTGGTATCAACTATTTTCATGTCCACCATTTATAGTAGTTTTGTTTAGTAACCACTCAAAGTTACAAAAGCACTGGAAGAAATGACAACCCTAAATTTAAAAAAAAAATGGTAAGAACAAGTAATATTGTCCTTTTCCTTCATGGCTTGCTCATCTGGTGGATAGTAGTATTCCATTGAATTGTGGCTTTCCTGGATTCTCTATATACGTAGTCCTCAAATTATGATCACAACTGTGTCCAAAATTTCTGTTGCTAAGCAAGGCTGTTATTAAGTAAGTTTTTACATATTTTATGGCCTTTCTTGCCACAGCTGTTAAACTGAATCACTGCATTTGTTTAAGTTAGTAACATATTGGTTAAGTGAATATGGCTTCCCCATTGTCTTTGCTTGTTAGAAGATTGCAAAAGTTGATCACATGACCCCAGGACACTGCAACTATCATAACTACCTGTCAGTTGCCAAACATCCAAAATTTTGATCATGAGACCGTGAGGATTCTGCAGTTGTGTGAAAAATGGTCAAGTCACTTTTTCCAGTGTTGTTGTTGTAAATTTGAACGGTCACTAAATGAATTGTTCTCACTTGGGGATAACCTCTAGTAGAAAAACAAGCTAGAATGTAATAAATCAATAAAGTAATAAGCAAACCAATCTAAATTATGCTTAAATTAAATAGAGTCAATATGATTGTGCCATTTAATAATCTTCCCATAATACTGAGTGGTGCTTTTTAATACCTATGTTTGGAGCAGGGGTGTCAAATTCGATTTCATTGAGGGCCGCATCAGGGTTGTGTTTGATCTTGGGGGGGGGGCAGGATGGGCATGGCCAGCTCAATGTCACACATGTCAGGGGCGCCTGTGGTGGACCGAGCCCTCTGCCAGCAAAAAAGGAACTCCCAACCTCCATTTCTGGCTGCAATGGCATCCTGCAACCCTCTGCCAGGAAAAGCAGAGCTCAGGAGAGCCATGTGTGGCCCTTGCAAGCTTTGGTTTTCACTGGCAAATGCCCCATGAACCAGTCCTTTGTTGTTTTGAGGGGGGGCCGCAGGCCAGATCTAAGCACCCCATGTGCTGGATCCGGCCCATGGACCTTGATGTTGACACCTCTGGTTTGGAGTAACTCCATCCAAGGTTTTGGGAAGTCATCACTTGCTGTCTCCTGCAGCATCAGAAAAAAAAGCCCAGGATAAACAGAAAGAGAGAAATCGAGAGGTGACTGCAGTATACCTATTGTCAGCGCTGATTTCAAACCAGGGAACATTTAATTAGGACTTTCCTTCCTTCCTACTTCTAGACCTACCATATTTGGCAGAAATTTGGAAGAAACATCGGAAGCCGTTCCAGGGTTTTCATGACCTTTTGTAACTATCGGCTTGCGATAAAAGATAGAACAGTCGTAGTCACGCTTTTCAGGGTAACTTTAGAGATTGCTGCAGCTATCCAATTCACCAAAGATGCAATTTATAGTAGCAGAGTCTTTATAAACTCAAAACAGGCAGGGTTGAGCAGATCAGTTTTTTAAAAAAATATCCCTTTTTATTGTCTCTGTGTTTGTTCTGGTCCATTGAATTTGTTACGGTATTATTAATATTAATATATTAAATGTATATGCTGCCCATATTAAATTTGTGTGCTGGCCCCACTTCCAGTGACTCTACTTCAGATTGTTTAAAGCATTAAAAATGAACAATACAAAATACACAAAATTCACACAAAACAAAGGTACAGAGATGATGTAGAAAACAAACCTGGATTGAAAAAAAGGAAAGGAAGAAAAGGGGTGTCACTAATGCTTACCAAAGACCTAGACAAAGAACCATATCTTCAAGACCCTGTGAAACAATAGGGTTGGTGCTGTTCAGATCTTGGGAGGTAGTTCATTCCAGATGGCATTACTACAGAGAAGGCACATGGCTGGGATCCCAATGGGTGGCATTGTTTAATTGATGCAATCTGGAGCATGCCCACCTTGCCAAATCAACTAGGCAGACAGATACTATGGGAAACTGGTGGTCTGTTAAACAAGCAGGGCTTATTCCATGTAGAGCTTTATAAGTGGTGACCACCACCTTAAATCTTACCTGGAAGCAAAGTGGCGCCAGTGCAACTCTCAAAGCAGAGTTGTTTCATGGACATACTGAGGCACACTCATCACTGCTCACATTACATTATAGACCAGGGTGTGAATGATATCTAAAGGGAACCCCCATCTAGGAAAGGGTACAACTTGGGTACCAGATGAAGCTGTGTAAAGGACTTCCGGGCCACAGCTACCTCCTACTCATTGAACAGGAGTGGTAAATTGAAAAAGACCCTCCAACTGTGCACCACTCTTGAATGAGGAAGTGCCAAGTGATGGAGTAGCAGAGTGGCAATGCAGGCCATGGCAGTGGTCAGGGGTGAGGCAGCAGTAGCCCTCCACAACAGTCCCAGTTTCTCATGTGGCCACTTGGGAAAATTAATCACCCACCCTTGATATAAAAGATGTAGCAAATTACCCATAAGTAGTGAGTGGGTTTCTTGTCTTTTAAAATTAAAATACTGTCTGCTTTTCTTGAGGTACATAGTATTTTGACCACTCTCACATACTTCAGGAAGGATAAAACAATTGTTATTTTTTGATTCCAGGTCTGCCATATGAGCAAAAGATAAAATCAAACCTCCAAAAGTTTTTCTTTTCTCACAAGACCTCAAACCCTCTGCATCCATCACTTGAAACATTAAATATTGGAGGAACATTCCTATGATTAACAGAAAGACAACTTCATAACAAAAAGCACTTAAGGGAGCAGGAAGAAAGTATTTTAAACCAGACTTTCAGGAAAAGTTTATCTCTTCCAAAGAAGCTCTAATGGCTGGATGTTATCTTCAGCATGGTCAACCTGTGAAAAAAGTCATGGCCATTTGTAGATAAGAAAAAGAGATTTGGGCACCAATAGTCTAGAATGTATACATATAAGTTCCACCTTTTTCGTTTGGAGTTATTGTTCAGCTTTAGCTAAATCATAGCTGTTCAGTTTCATTCCCTAATCTGTAAAATGGAAATCAGAGTAACTTAATTTACAGGATTGCTGTGCACACAGATATAATTAGAAGGGTGTAAAACATTTCACAGTCTAAAGTTGCTTTGTGAATTGAAATTGGTCATTTACTTGTCTTCATGCTGATTGCTTCCTGGATCTTTTTCGGTAATTGAGAATCCGCAGACTGTCTTTTACAGCTGTTGCTGTTTTTTTAAAAAAGGTTTGCATAAAATAATGATCATTAATACCTAACTTTTAAACAGGAAGCCCAGAGGCAAAACAAGATACAGTAACATAGATTGACTTTTATTATGTAACAGCAACATAATAAATAAATTTATGAAGTCATATGGCCTTTACAAAAAGACAGAAAAGATATTGCACCAAGTATAGGTACTGGCTATTTGGACTGAATATTTGCTGAAGAAAAGGTGGGGCACGGCACCCAAAGTTAAGCGCATTTAAGTCCCTCTAATTTCACTGGGGAAAAATTCACTTGGAGTTAGAATCTTTCTCCTTGAAGTCAATGGGACATTAAGGCTGCAATCCTTTACACATATACCTGGGAGTGTCTCCCATTGAATTCAGCAACATACTTCTGAGTATATATGTCTAAGATTGTGTTGGGCAGGGCTTAACTTTGCCTAGGCAATGCCCCTGAGAGTTATCATCATTATATACATTTACAGAGTTAAGGCAAAACCAGATAACACTTTGAAAGGGACAGAAGGCTTGAGAAATAAATATCATTTAAAAATAAGAGGGAAGGATTTCCATCTCCACTTGATAAATTTAGCTATATCTAAGGAATGCATTCAGCTGATTTTTGTTAAAGAAATAGCTACTCTCAATCATTGAATTAAAAGTAAAGTCTAAGTGTATTTAAAAAAAAAAACAAGGCTGTTTTGCAGAGATTTGCCAAAATGATTCTGTTTAACTCTGGTAAGCAATTTTTTTTTAGCTTAATAAACTCTTCCTGGAACTAGAAAATCCTTTCTATAATATACAAATTCCTTTAGTGTTCAGAGAACATCCGACTCTGACCTACAGATTTTCATAGGGCATTCCTCTTCGAGTTTAACTATTTGAAGGAAAAAATATGTGTGACTCTTCCAGAAACAGAATACACAAAAATTAATGAAGTCAAAAGCTTATCAGTAACTCTTCCTTTGCAACTGAACAGCATGAATTTATGTTAATTTTTAGCACAAGGGGAACAAAGATATAATTTATATATTAATGAACATTTCTTTGGCAGCTATGTGTTAATCTCGAATGAAGTTTTGATCCAGAAACTCTTAAATTGTAGACCTGGTTGCCAGTCTTTTAAAAATGGAATAGGGGGATGGGAGAAAAGAGGCAACTATAATTATTGACTTCTCCCACAAATCCAATATGTCCAGTAAAGGAACTTGGAATGAATCTTGCAGGCAGCTTCATTCTGTAACATCAAGCATAGATATGTATTGTCTGCTTTTAAGTCTTGCTTCCAAAGTCCCGTATATAAACACACAAAATTGGTTGAAATCTCAGGATGAGTTCAAACAGGGTCAAAATGCCATACAATAGAATCCAGATTTCACCCATGAGAAACCAAGAAAGAAAAATCAATCCAGAGGATGAGAAGATGGTCTTCAGAGAACAGAAGCAATGATTGGTCCACACCTAGGTGAAAGTCACAAGGCGATTGATCTTACAGGGGAAAGACCAGGAAACCAGAGAACGTAGAATACTGCCATCCGCCAACCAGGTTGCCTTTCTCCAGTTTAAGGTAGACCTTGTCTTCCTTGTCTAGGTAGAGTAGGACTCCATTTGTGGCAGCTTCACGAGTGACATCTTTGTCCCCAGCAAAAGCTGAAATGACTGGTTTCCCATTAAGCATCAAGTTCACCTGCCAAAAATAATAACAATTTAAAAATCCTGAAAAGACTCGTGTTAAGACATAGCCATCCAATGCTACTAAGGTTGATGGGAAAGGTCCATAGAAGACCAGTGCAACCTAGAGATTTATTTGCCAATTTCAACATCTTTTCAGAATTAGAAGGAATAAACAATTGGGTAAATTGAATGTAGGAGGGATGGAAGTAGAAAGACAGACTGTTTGTAGGAGTGAAAGAATATTTATTTGATTTCCATAGCCACCCATCTCAAGAAGAACTCTGACTAAAGTATATCATAAAAACATTAAACATTAGAAAAGATATAGAGCCATTAAATAAACTATTGCCATGGGTATTAATGCAGCCATGAAACAGAACACGCTCAGGGCCCCAAACCTGGTCACATAACCAGGTTTTCCTGGCCTTACAAAAGGCCAAAAGGATTAAGGTCAACCTAATCTGTGAAGAGAGAATGTTCCAAAGGGCAGGATCTAGGACAGAGAAGGCATATCTCTCGGTCCTCACTAGCATATTCCTCCTTCCATGTTGCTATTGTACTGTGGGTTAGCTTCATAGCTTCTCAATGTTATTTAGAAAAAATATAAAATTAATCTAAAAACTGGCATGCTATACTTCGCTTGCCTTCCTCTACTTTTCCAATAGCTCCTTAGCAGTTACTTAGACGTGCAACAGTATATGTGCAATGATTAAATTATATCTTGATATATTTATCTTCAGTGGTGGGATTCAGCCAGTTCACACCAGTTTAGGAGAACTGGTTGTTAACTTTCTGAGCAGTTTGGTGAACTGGTTGTTGGAAGAAATCATTAGGGCAGAGAACCGGTTGTTAAATTATTTGAATCCCACCACTGTTTGTCTTCCTATCAAGATAATTAGATTCATCTATCTCCACATGTGCATATTGTAAACTGATAGTAAATGGAAATGTAATAGAGATGTGTGGACTTGAAATCCAGCAGGGTTTTTCTTAGATTCTTATGTTCAGTGTTGAAAGCTTCCCATATGATATATCATTATAGAATTAGAAGGCATACCAAATCTAAATCACCCATGCAGACATCTAAATTAAGATTCTGTGACAAATACCTACCTACCTTTTTGAACTTATCATGATAAAGGGAACCCACCATGTTGTCTTGATTGTTGACATGTTCCCTTTATAGATTTTTCCTGATGTTCAACTGGAATTTGCCTTGCTGTAATTTGAACCACACATTCAAAAGAAAAATGGTATGCTCTCCTTTTAAAAGATGGTATGGTGGCCTAGACATTAAGACAGAGTTCCCCAACCTTTCCAGCTTTGTGGATGGAAAGGTGATGATTCTGTGTGAATGGCCAGCGTTGGGCATGTGCGCCTGCCGCACAAATGGAGCATGCACACACGTGCCCACCCAGGGTTGGGATTCAATTTTTTTAACAACCGGTTCTTTGGGCGTGGCTTAGTTGGTGGGCATGGCTTAGTGGTCATGTTATTGGCTGGGTGTGGCCAACTCAATATCACTCACATCGAGGCACACATCTCCTCTCCTGGCGGCTCATGACTGTGGGGATGCTGCAACAGTCGTAAATGTGAAAAATGGTCATAAGTCACTTTTTTCAGTGCAATTGTAACTTTGAATGGTCCCTCCACACAAGCAGAGTATCAGCAAAGGAGGGGAGAAAAACTCCAGAGAGGTTCCTGAGACAGGAAGTCTAGTCCTGCCAAGAATGTAATAAGGTTAACGGAGAGGCAGTTTCTGTAAGCAACACCAGAATATTTCCTTCCTGCCTTCCTTACAGGATTAGGCCAGTAATTTATTTTAACAACCGGTTCTCTGAACTGCTTAGAATGTTAACAACCGGTTCTAGTAAATAGGTGCAAACTGGTAGAATCCCACCGCTGTGCCCACCACTTCTGTGGCCCGGTTCTGAATGGCTCACAGCAACAGCCTGGAGGTTGGGGACTTCTGGGTTAAAATACTGGGCTGGATGATCAAAAGCTTGGCAGATTGAGACACAAATACCGCATGACGGGGTGAGCTCCCATTCTTGTTCCAGATCCTGCCAACTCAAAAGCATGCAATTGCCTGTTCTTTTCTCAAGCAGCAGCAGGGTAGAGTTGGGGTGGGGAGCTGATTATGATGGGCTGCATGGCTTTCTGCCTCGTTGTAGCAGTAGCCTAAGCAACACCAGTGCTCCAGGCCTGGAGGAGCAGAAATTGTGCTCGCTGACTGCTCCATAGCCACAAGGTGAGCTGTGGAACAGAGGTGTCCTCAGCTTCAAGGTTGCCTGGCACCCTGGGCAGGTCTAGGGCTAGCAAGACTGTGCCAGAAATATCTCCAGGCACCCGGAGAGACAAAACTGCTGGTCCTCGCTGGATCAGCTGATCCGTGGGTCACGGTTAAGCAGCCAGGAGGTAACCGGGGAAGGGAATGGCTGACTCCTGTGCTGGCCACGCCCATCCCCTTCACTAGAGCTTATTTTGGGGGTAGGATATATATTAAGTCCACCCCAAAATAATCAGGCTAGGGCTTAGTTTCAATGTAGGTCATATTTGGGAGGGGGAACACGATACATATATTTTAATTTTAAAAACCTTAAGACCACATGAAGCAGAAACTCAATACTAAAGAGTCTATAGATATATTTATTTAATCAAAAACTAGTAGTGCAGTGAAAATCAATAGAAGACGATTCATAGACAAACCATATTGTAGTCCATTATTCTGGTAATAGGAAGCCACAAATTCTGGTAATTGGAAGCCATAAAGTCTCATAGTTTTGGAAGAAAGAAAAAAAACCTTGCTAACCTGTGTCAGTGAGCCATAAATTGGTTTAGTATATTCTGGAAACTCAGCCAAAATAATTTGTAAAGCTTAGCCTTACTGTGTTGTGTAAGCATAGCTGACTTACTTTATTTTCACCAGTTATATCCAAACAAACCACAACTTTTAAAAAGTTGAAGTCACATAATTATTTTTTACAGAGCTTTGTTTATTATTCTTCATTTTACTTTGGATTTTATATTTTTCATGTATTTATTAACTGTTTTTAGCTCTGTTGTACACTATCCGGAATTGCAATGGCCAGAGTTGCTTGCTTTCAGGGTATGTGGCTACATAAATTGGAGGAAATGAAAGGAGAAGGAAGATAGTAGGGAGAAAGACAGGGGGAAGGGGAAGGGGAAGGGGAAAGGGGAAAGGAAAGGAAAGGAAAGGAAAGGAAAGGAAAGGAAAGGAAAGGAAAGGAAAGGAAAGGAAAGGAAAGGAAAGGAAAGGAAAGGAAGATGATTGATTGAAGACCGAGAGAGAGGGAGGGAGGGAGGGAGAGATCTAACTAGATCTAACCCTGCTTAGTTTTTTAAAGTTCAATGAAGGCCAACCAGGTACTTCAGTCTGCCAGCAATTAGTTGAATGGGTAGACTTGATGTAAATCAGTTTCTTCTGAATTACCAAAGGAAGATAAACTGAAAATATTTTCAAAATCAATTACCTTAGTGACTCTTAAACTAACTGGCCAAATACAAATTTATATCATTCCTAGAAGGTAGAGCAGCAGACATACACATACTTAACATTGAACTGGGCTCTTCCCCAACTGTTGTAGATTTGATAAATTATTGTGCCTTGCAATACTAATTTTGCAAGCTTCTGTATTTATTTCCCAGAAATAAGTCTCACTTGGTTCAGTGGACAAACTGCCAAATAAGTGAGCAGCAAGAGCAGCAGAGGAGATGACTCTCAATATAATCTTAAATTATTCCCAAATTGGAGACAAATTGTAAGCATCACTGAATTTCCATGAAATAGTGAAGTAGTAGCAAACATAACATTCTAGGGAATTGGAAAATAGCCCAGAAAGTTCAAAAGAATCATATTTAATTTCAAATGGAGGCTTTTCTTTTCATTTAAAAGGAGAAGTTTAACCAGATAGGATATAAAAGGAACAGAGAGAAATGTAAGATGCTTCAGGGAGCTTAGAAATTATTTTAAAACAGTATAACAGGAGTTCAAATGAAATACACAATACAGACTAGAAAAGGCATAGACAATTTTGAAATGATGCCAGTAAAAAAAGGAAAGTGTAAAAATGTAAAAAAAAAAAAAGCTTTATTTTACAAAGTGGAAAACTGGGGAAATAAACCATTAAACAAACTAACATAATATGCAGCATTAGTAGGATAAATAGAAAAGGAATCAGAAGAGCCAATATCCATGACATGCAAACTAATAATAACAGAATCTAAATTCATCAGGGATGAAAGATGACAATGAAGCTAGATAATGAATGCCTAATTCTGTCCTGCAGAATTAGTGAAAGATACATTCGTTTTTCTACTGTAGTCTTCTTTCCAATTTCCATATGTAGCACTTTAAGGTTTACCTTACTGTGGTGATAAATGCTTAATTATACAATTATATAAATAATGATAAAACTCTTAAATATAGGTAGGTTAATAAGGTTGACCCCCCCCTGATTTGTGCATTCTGCTATACAACAATAGCAATAGCACTTAGACTTGTATATCACTTCATAGGGCTTTACAGCACTCTCTAAGCTGTTTAGATCTGGGTCCTCTCATTCTACCAACCTTGGAAGGATGGAAGGATGAGTCAACCTTGAGCCAGTCAGGATTGAACTGCTGGCAAGTGGGAAGAATTAGCCTACAATACTGTATTCTAGGCTGAGCACCAAAGAATTGAGGCCTTTGAACTACGGTGCTGGAGAAGACTCCTGCAAGTCCCTTGGACTGCAAGGTGATCAAACCGATCAGTCCTAACGGAGATCAACCCTGACTGCTCTTTAGAAGGCCAGATCCTGAAAATGAAACTCAACTACTTGGCCACTTAATGAGAAGAAGGGACTCACTGGAGAAGAGCCTAATACTGGGAATGATTGAGGGCAAAAGAAGAAGGGGACGACAGAGAATGAAGTGGCTGGATAGAGTCACTGAAGCAGTCAGCATCCAGAATTTCAGGCTTGACACAATGTGAGCTTAAATGGTCTCTGG